AGAGTTTCTTATCTCCAAACATATTTTTAAATGATGCTACTTTCATTGCTGTTGTTGCTGGTGGTGGTCTGACCTAGGTTAATAGAAGATGTACTAAAGAGAAAGAGCATTTTTCCATGATTCCCATGAATTCCTGTCTCAGATAATCCAACTTTAGAAGAAATCTGAAGATGTGTTTTTTTTGGTTTGGTTTGCTGTGTGTGTGTGTGTGTGTGTGTGTGTGTGTGTGTGTGTGTGTGTTTTCAAAGTTAAACCTAAAACCTACAACCAGCTTCCCCTTCCAGACTCTATTCTGTCCTTTCTGTTCAGCTTCATTTAAAGCAATCTTTATGTATGAAAATCCAAAGTGAAATGGAAATCGAGGAAGATCAAACACACATAGAAGCTCAAAATACTCTTCTAGACCTAAAAGTCACCTCTCCATGAACCGGGCACAAAAGGACATCCCTCTAAAGATGAAATCTCTATTATCCATAATATGTCCCAAACTAAGCAGCATCATAGTAATGTACTAAGAGAAACAAACTGGAAACCCAAAGATCTGTTATTTTGGGCAAATACATTTACTCTTCCTGCTCCTCAAATTTTCATCTATAAAGTAGGTTGACAAACCCAGCTGTGTCTTAGGGCTCTAAGCAGTAATCTATGTATGGCATGTTGCAACATGGCATACTGTATGGAATAATGCAACATATCAAGAATTATTAATAATTCCACAGGAAATAATGGTATATGTCTAATTTTTCCTTCCTACAGTATAACGTGTGGTCTTAGGAGAAAAACTGTATCCACTAATTCGTCATGTTTATATTTGAAATAACTGGATTTTCAACATCTAACAGAAATGTACATGTCCCTATTTATAGATTCATTGCAAATTTTTCTACTAATTTAAAAGATAAGTATGATCTCTTTGGAAAACATAAAAAATCGAACTAGGGTATTTTTGCTCTCCTCCCTCCCTCTGATTTTCCTCTTTGTCCTCAACTTCTCCTTCTCTTTCCCCCTTTATATCTATCTCTATCACTATGTCTCTACCAAATTGAAAATGACAGCTAGCTACACAGTAAAGTGAAACAACTTTTCTTCAGTGTGTGCAATAGGGAAAATGACACTGAAGTTCACTGTTGGCTTTAACTATTAAGTATTCACAATCGTAATTTACAGTCCAGGCCAAAGGGGAGTGAGGTAGGTGGTGGTGATTGCAAAATTAGTATACTAAAATATCAGGGAGAAGGGATGATATTCCAGCCTAATAACTTAACATAATTCTTGGAGAAGGTACAATAGTATGATTAGATATTTCCTGGGTGGGTTGGAATATGTAAAACTCAAATATATATCAAGGGTGATCAAAGTTTCAGATGCTGATTAAGCTAACTTAGCAATATTTTTGCTAAAAGTAGACAATGGAAACACGAAAACAGAAGTCCAAAAATGTAGACTTATTTGAAAAAGAACTCAAAAATGTTTTGTTTTTGTTTTTTGGTACCGGGGATTGAACTCAAGACCTCACACTCAACCAGTCAGGTGCTTATGCTCCTGAGCTAAATCCCCAGTCTCAAGAGTTCAAAAATGTAAGTAGAGTGCAATTAATGAGAAATTTTATGTCAACACACACACACACACACACACACACACACACACTCCAGGGAAATATCTAATATATATTCACTGAGTACACTCCAGGGAAATTTCTAATATATAGTCATGAAATATCTCTAGTATGTCTTTTAAAAAAACTTACCAAGAAAAGCTCAAAACATTTTTAACAAATAGTGATAAAAAGATAAACTGGTATAAAATAAGGAAAAAAAGAATGGTGCTGTAATAAACAATGAAAGAGATAAGGGAAAAAACTCAAAAGAATTTTCAGAAATACCATATTTTCATGAAGCTACTGAAAACCATGTTTCAATATTTTGCAAGATTTAAAATATAAACTGATTGTGTCTCGAAAGTATTAACTAAAAAAACAAATGCGAATCTGTGGATTCTATGTCAAGTCAGTAAACCATGGTATAATGAGCTGTCAATGTCTGATAAAGTACAAAACAAAGCAAGCTATCATCAGATGTAACAAGGAGGGTAATAAAAACACTATCCCAGAGTTCACATCTGGCGGTCATGGTTAAACAGAGAGTTGCTTATTTCTTTTAAAAGTGGAACTAGAATCTCTTTAAAATAATAGAATCTTTCAATATTTTCCCAGAAGCATTATACAAACACTATATACCAGTAACTTGTAAGTGGTTTCTACTCTTTTTCTTCCTAAGTAGCAGTTTCCTGTCTCATTTTCAGCATTGCATATAATTTGCTTTAATTTTATTCATAAGCTTTCAAATAAAGGGAAACTTCATCTGATTCTTTTGAAGAATGGCCAATTAAATGATTCTGAGCCTTCGGTCTGACATCATACATGTACGGAGCATCTTTGATACCCTTTTTGGCAGAAGTAAATGTTTTTTTCAGGCAGATAGGAAGAGATTCAAACATTGTTATACAAAAATAGATTTTGGATTGCACTATTGTCAGAGATATTTACTGTCTCCAATTGGATAATTTTTAATCTTTGTCCTTGGCCAAATGACTTCCTGCCACATGCCTTCTCTCATCTGATCCACTTTACTCAATAGAATCTAAAGAAAACATGTCAATAACCCAATTCCAATTGAAAATTTAAAAACGATATAAATATTTTTTCTAATCTTTTTTTTCCTGTCCTTTGCTATGAGAATTGGACAATAAATCACGTAACAACCATTCCCTTAGCTTAGACCCAGTGATGAAAAAGTCATGAAATCACACTGAGCCAATCTGAGCTAGAGAAGTCCAGCAAATTTCTTGCTGAAGGGGGCTGAGGATTTAGCTCAGCGGCATAAGCACCTGCCTTGCAAGCAGACAGTTGTGAGTTCGATCCCTGGTACTGATAAAAACGAAAAAGACAAAAAACAAACAAACAAACAAAAAAAAAAAACAATTCTTGCTGAAGTTCTGGTATTGTTTTTTGTAACAATGCAAACCTGGAGAGGGGGTGGTATGAGGGCATAGGGTTAAACTCAGAGTACGAAAGAAAGAAAGTGGGGGAGAGGGCCACGGGACAGAAAAAAGAAAGCTAAGTGGCTGCCTGGGTAACAGGACACTGATAGAGAATGCTAAAGGCAATTAGTAAATAGCCTTACGTAGAGACACAGGTGTTTAATGTTGGAGACTCAGAGTATAACTATCCAGAATCCGCTGCTACTGGGCTAAATTCCATGTTTTGACAAAGAAATATACACAGGACAATAGCAGCACCTGTTATGCAGTCAAAGGAGAGGTAATTGATGGGTATAAAATTTGCTATTTCCATAATTAAAGAAAAGAAAAGCAAGTGAAAGGAAAGCAATCAGTCAGGCAGAAGACTGAGTTTTAGTGTCAGAAAAGTAAACTTTTGAGTGATATACTAACTGAGAATAAAAGAGAATTTTATTTCAATCGATAACTATTCAAATGAAGATCTAATAATTATATCTATACAACCAACAAAGACAAAGTGCAGATTCATTACAAATGCCACTGAAAAGTTTAATATGTATAAGCCAGAGTAACACTTAATTTCAAAAGCATTAAATCAAATTGTTTACTGACTACTGTAAAGTTAACTTAAAAACAACAAAAAGTTTTTTAAAAATCTCTATTTTGTCATAATGGAGCAATACAATGTTAAATAATCTTTGAGAGAATTTAAGAAATGTCTGTAGAAATTTTAAAAGTTTTGAAATTTAGGAAATGAAAATGTTCATATTACAATTAAAAACTATTGTAATAAAAATTTATGTTCTTAATGGAATGCAAATTTGAAATGTCAAAGGAAAGTGTTGTGATTGAATTTAAAAAGCTAATTTTTCAAATGCTATGAATTTTCAAAAGACAGTCAAAGCAAGGTGATATTAAAAATGAAAAGCAATATGACAGATTACACTTCAGGACATTAAATTATGTGCAAATCAAAATTGTGATGAGCTATCATCTTACTAGAGTTAGAATGACTATTGTCAGAAGCATACAAATGCTAGTAAGAATACAGAAAAAGAACTATTATGTGATACTAACAGGAATGTAAATTAGTATTTGTATTTTCAACAATAATACGTGGATGTGGAAAATATGGCATAAACAATATGGGGTTTCTTCAAAACCTAGAAATGTCACTGCCATGTGATTTAAAAATCTTGTTACTTAGTAAATATTCACAGCAAATGAAAGTGATATTTGGAAGAAACAGACATTTACAGCAGCACTACTCAAGTTACCACAAATAGAATAAACTTAAATGATCACCAGTGAATGGGAGGTGGACAGTAAAAATGTGAGTGTCCTATTCAGCCATAAAAGTATAAAGGTATAAAATTTTATTACTGGCAGCAACATGAATAGAACTGAATTGTAAATTAAGTAAATCAGGTACAAAAAGAAAATTCCCACAAATTCTCACTTACATACAAACTAAAAAGGACTCAGGGCCAGGATGGAACTTTTACCCTCACACTGCAGCTCCATCAGCACTTCATAGAGTAGTAAGCTGGAGAAATCTGCGTCCTACTCATTTTTTTGTTGGTGAGACACTAAGCACAAAGCTTAAAGGAGAAGAGCTTTGCTTTGACTCCATGTCTTGAGAAATTTCAATCCTTTGTTGGCTAGTTCCGGGGCAAAAGTAGCCGTGAGAAAAGCCCTACTAAGTAAGGTCTTAGTAGCCAGAATGCAGAAAAAACAGAGAGGACCCAGGAAAGGAGACTTGCTCTTCTACTCACCTGTCTCCACTGACCTGCCAGCCCTTCCCTCGGAGCAGCGGGTCAGCTCACAGTCCAGAAATCCAGTCGCCTTCCACAGCCTTCCAACGCAGGCATGCGTTTGCATGTGGCACTCAGATGTAAGCACAACATCTGCCAACCAGAAACTATCTGTGGAAATGTCACCAGTTATTTACATTGTTTTTAACTTCAAATTTTGGTATTTTCATGCTCGCTTCGGCAGCACATATACTAAAATTGGAATGATGCAGAGAAGATTAAGATGGCCCCTGTGCAAGGGTGACATGCAAATTCTTGACGCTCTCCATATTTTTTGATTGTCTGTTCTTTTTTATGCTTTGATTTTGTGGTTTGAACTACTTCTAAATTAACAGTATGTCGTACATTAACTAGTGTTGATTTCTTACTTGCTTTTTGAAATGATGTATTTTCTAACCTTTTTTGTTTTGATTTTTTAAATTTTTTATATTTTCTTTAATTACTCTGTACTCTCATTTTTACCCAGTATTTTCTAACAGAAAGTTCTATTGTGTCTATTTGTTAAGTACATCTTCAACCTAAATATTTCTTAATTTCCCTGTGTTAATATCATTCAATGTTTCTAATTATGGGTTATGAAATACACAATGAAAACCCATGAATATTACCATAGTGGAAGAAAATAAAATATTAGGATATGATTAGTTAATATGATTATTAGTTAAATGAAATGGAATTTTAATGTTTTGAATTTAAAAAAAAATATTGCCTTTAGAACTTACCCATCCATTTGACTAACTACCTTGGCAGACTCATTCTGAGACTTGGTGTTTTTTACTTTGGTAATTTTCATCTAGCATTTTTATAGAGTAGGGCTATACTTTTTCCTCATCTCTTATTAAGGTTGATTTCAAATTTTTGCTCATATTTCTTTAGCCTTTATTGTTCAGGTTGGTACTTAGATACTATCTAAAATTAAATAAATTCCTTTATTTAAATTAGGGTTTAGGAATTTATGTACTGTAAACCAAACCAAACCAAAGAAGAGGGCAGATCTGATACATTATCAAATTTTTCCTGTGTTTGTATTGTCTAAGTCAAGGAGTACTATCTGTCACAAATTTGTCATTAATGTTGCTTGTACATGGCACGTTTTTGTATTAAATAAGAGATCCAACATGCATTATGCACTGTTTTTTATAGTAGAAATTGTAGCAGGAATTGCACCCCATTTAAAAATTATTCAGTTCAATGTACGTCTTTCCTCTCCTCTCTTCCCCCCCTCTCTCTGTCTCTCTCTCTGTCTCTCTCTCTGTCTCTCTCTCTCTCTCTCTCTCTCTGTCTCTGTCTCTCTCTGTCTCTCTCTCTCTGTCTCTCTCTCTCTGTCTCTCTCTCTCTCTCTCTCTCTCTCTCTCTCTCTCTCTCTCTCTCTCTCCCCCCCTCTGTCTCTCTCTCTACCTACAAGAGCGAAGTCAGTGTCTACCAGAGTGAAGTCAGTGTCTCTAACTGCCATTGGGAACAACCCACATGTTCATTTTTCGATGGGTAGAATAGTGGATGCAGGAATGCCATATAAGTAAATTTATTTTTGAAACTATGAGTTGTCATGTTATCTAAACATAGTGTGTATGTGTTACAGCTGCTACTTCATTATAGTTGGATTAAACTTTTGGATACAATACAATCAGCATCTATTTAATGAGTTTAAAATGTGGTATTTGCTTTCAAAATACACATTTGCCCAGATCCCCATAGATTTCTACCACTATCTCACTAAGTAAAATAGAAAAATGAGCAATAAAACAGGAATTGAATGGTGATGACTTGAGGCTAATTATTAATTATATGAAGTTACATGTGGCATAAAAAGCTGAAATGAACCTTGTCTCAGGAAACAGGAGTATTTCTTTTACCTCCTTTCAAAACAGGCTCGAAAACATTTTTGATAAAATGAACAGAGGTTTAATCAAAGTGTAATTTATTTTGTACACATAGCAATAGAAAGTAAGGGTATACGATCTGATTATGGACCACAAAATATTTTGGTGTGACTTCCAAAGCTTCCCCTTTGAATATAGATTGGTACTTCTTGACTTGTGAACTAAATATGTATTGTATAAGTCAATATTTCTGATTACTACAATTTATAGTCTGTGAATCTATCAGTTGTAGGCTTTCAGATACCACTTAAAAGATGTAATCCTTTGACTCAATTATAAGAGATGAATAAGAAATTAGCAGCTGAATATTTAAATTATAACACAATTTTTAGTATTTTAGTTACTCAGTTTATTGTTAAGGATTTGGTTAAACGGTATCTTTTTTCCTGAAAGTATTGTCAGTTTAAATGAATATGTTTAGTAGAAAAAAAGAGACAATCATCAATAAATCCTATTCATATTAAAATAAAGTTATACTAATGAAGCAAAAGAATACATTCACACCATTCTTCTATCTTCTTTATATTTATGTGTACATATGTTTATCAAAAAAATCTTGGTACTTAGATCTAATTCAAGAGGCTTGATTTGAAGTCCTGCGTTAAGTGTACTCCTTATCAAAAGTTAATAACTATTAGCGCATGGATGATTCCAGTTTAGAGTGATCTTAGGACAATGAATTTTAGTTCCTAATAATATTGAACCAGATTATTAGTTGGTGGAAGCTTCATTCCATATAGCAAGTGAAATTTGGGAACTGTGCTGAGTTAAGAAAAAAGTTATTTTTTGGCCAACACTTCTTTTATTAAAACAGAAGTTATATTCACATCTTGCATCAGACACAAACAAGAAGCCCAAAAGAAAGGTGGGATCCTTAACAACATATTTATGATCTCTTATTGCTTTTGTTTCTCAGTTTTAACAATGTATTTCCTATGTTATTGTAAAGCTTCATAATTTTATCACTGAGTTACAACTTTGACAACAATGGCATGTTATTTAAAAAGAACACTTTTGTATTGTAAGTAACATCAATCTGGTACTTAAATACAATTATTACTGATGACAGAAGTTCTTAAAATCAAATGTCTTGAATTTAGGGAAAGTGTGATTTGAAGATATTTAAATGAGTGTAATTCTGTACTATTATGTCAGTTTCTGCCTGTGTGATGGCAGGTTTATTTTCCATTCCTGTGGTGATCATATGCCTGAAACAAAATTTGCTCCAGGATTAGCTTATTTAGGATGAATAGGTCAAGCTGAGTATGGAAGCCAGAACAATGAATATCCTTATCTTGTGTGAGACAGCAGGCTACAAATCCTTCTAAAAAAGAGGAGGTTAGGGATATGATGTGAGCAGTTTCTCGGGGCATTAAATCAGAGCTTTTTAATGCATGGCATAGAGGGAAATTCAAACATGAATCTTATATGTTATACTTTGCCCTATGGATTTTAAATTAATGATATTAATTATTGTAGAAAGAGAAATGCAAATAAAAATAAATGTCATTTTTTTAGTGCTTCAATACTATAAGAAATAACTAAACAAGAAATTATATGGAATGATGATCACTGCTATTGCCAAAGTAAATTTCTAAGATAAATCATTTTTAAAGACATCTTTTACCACATAAAAGTATACTTTCCTATTTGATTTGTCATATGTAATTGTTAGATGAATTATAGCCTTTGTTACACTATATGCATATATATATATATATATATATATATATATATATATATATATACACACAATTATATAAATGCATTTTTTTTTTGGTCTTTTTCCTTTTTATTGGTACCGGGGATCGAACTCACAACTGCCTGCTTGCAAGGCAGGCGCTTATGCCACTGAGCTTAATCTCCAGCCCCTATAAATGCATTTCTTAACAAATATGTAGTCATCAGTGTAAAAGAAGTCAAGTTCAGAAGCATGTAAGGTATATTTAAATAACAATGAATACTTATTAATAAATTATGCCACGTAAGTAAATGAAATGCATGTTGGATTCTTACAGTTGTTTTTGAATTAACATGAAATATATTTGTTTATTACTTGAACACAGGTTTTAAAAAACATTCTTTCCAAAACAATGCTTTACATCACTTGCATTGTTTATAGGAGAGTTTTTTTGATGAAGTGAGTGGTTTTGGGTATGTTTGAAACTTATATAATTTCAGCATTTTCTTCCTTTTTCAAGCATGTGTCAAACAGTAATTTTTGTAAATTTATCTCAGGTAAAATTTTACCTTTATAAACCCTAGACTATGTACTTAAATGAACTGGTTTTTTAAGGTGTATTTAAAGGACATACATGAAATAATATCTCTTCTCAATACCTTTACTTTTCTTTTGAAAATAAATCTAAAAGCAAATCTAATATCATCAAAATAAAGAAAGGCATAACATCAATAGAGAAAGAAAAATGGAGTTAGGGGAACTCCTGGAGCAGAAATGTAACAACCTGAGGCTGAAGTTAACTTCTAGAACTAGTGGCTAATGGCAAGTACCCCAGTCCTTTGATTTCATATTTCAAATCAAACAATGGGACAGGAATTCTATGACTACTGTTAGTCCTGAAATCTTTAGGTATTGTAAGTAAAACAGAAATGTTAGTATTTAAAGAAGTTAAAAGATTTCATAAAATAAGTTCATTTCATATTAACCAAAGAGTTGTATATCATTTGAGGAGGAAAGGAGTGCTGTGTGTCTCATAGGAATGGACTGGGCAGAGGAAGAAGTGAGTGGAGTAGAGACAGGATAATGGGGGGGTGCTGTTTCTTTGGGAAAAAATACACACATTTTAGGGACTAAGGACTATGGTCTAAGGAGAGTGATCTCAAGAAAAGTCCTGAATTTTAGATTGATAATCTTGAACTCCAATTATGGAAAATAAAAATCTATGGAGCAGCTTGAAGCATTAAAATGACACACTGAAATGTGCCTTTATTGTTGGCAATTAAGGACGAACTGGAAAGTGGAGATAAGAAGCACTCTCCATCTGGAAGGTACCACATTATCCGAGTACAAAGGCAGGCAAGCTCAGAGGTTGGCAGTTAGAAGCAAGGATTAGGGAACATTCCAGTCCCTTCACAGAAAACTGAACACTAGGAAAACTTACTTCAGAAAGTTCTATCCTTGTATTTGACATAAGTTTCTGTCTAGAAATCTGTTACTGAAGCCAGTGTGAGGTATAAAGCATGGAAATTTGACTCCTGTGATTTTTATGAGTCCATAATTACTAATCATGAGTCCTTGCATGTTTAATGTGTTTATAGTTGTATTCATAGTCCCTGGTGGATTAGGGAAGCCAGTGAATTTACTGTTTTGAGCTCGTTCATTGTCCATAACAACATATTAATAATAACAAATTTTCAGAAGGAGATATAATTAC